TAAATGTAAGTGCTCTCACTGCTGTAGTTAGAAAGGAACTGAAATTGTTCTTGGAGCAAAATGGAAGTGCCTTAGTGAACTCCTGTGGTCATTAGTATGGCCAGAGTAGTTTTATCCTGGAACACCTTTTTTACCTCACTGCAATGGAGGGCCTCATGGTTCTGGAATTTTCCTCTCAGTGTTTGCTAAATGCTTAGAAAGCTAGGCTTCCCACTGTCTAATCCTGAAGCAGACTGGCCTAAAAGGACCCCTTTTGAGAGGCCAGATGTTTAGAAATAAAAGCTATAAAAGAAAGGAACTGTTGTATTTACCAGAAGGGGCAGCCACCAAAGGGAGACAAATTTATTTGCTCAGAGGAAAAAAAAAAGTTCTTTTGTAGTTGTCTGAAGGCTATGCTCGATTGAAAGATCAGAGTTGAAGATCTGACCATATTGGGAATTAGCATTGCTAATGAAGTTTTCAGAGACTCAGATTATTTTAAACTGCTTAACCTTCTCTATAAATACTTGAAACACTGTACTTCTATTTTTAATAGTCTAATAATGGATAAATGTTATTTTTATAGCAGTAGAAACAATGTTAATATCATTTTTCAAATAAGAAGCATCAAATAATGGCATATTGCTTTATTTTTGTCAGTTCCAATTCTGTGTTAGAGAGTGGTAGCCAACTGTCTGAACTGGCTGATGAAGTGGGAGGTAGGGACAGTCTAAGTGGCTAGCTGACAAGACTATGTGTTCTTGAATGACAAATATATGAGCACTTGTCCAAATATCAACTGCTTTAGGTAGGCCCAGGTGAACTAAACCCTGGAAATGCAAGCTTCTTAAAAATGAATTATCAGTATGGTTTACAAAATGCATTCTCCACCATCTTTGATGTCACTTCCACTTAAATCAATATGATAATGTAATTTGCAACCCTTCCAGAATAAGGGGGCAAAAACAGTCTGTATCTACTAAGATGCATGAATGAATTGCCCTTGTTCATCTGTCCTACATTTTTTTAAAAAGAATGATTTATTTATTTAATTCCATTTGTTGTTATTATTATTATCACTATTATTATTTGACCAGAGAGAGAGGACGGGAAAGCGAGAAAGCAAGCAACCAGGTCTAGAACTCGAACCTCAGTAGGCCATGTGGCAATCCAGTGCTCCTAACCACCAGCCTACCTGCTGGCTCCTATCCTACATTTTTAGGCTAAACTCCTTTGATGAACTTTGCTTTATTTACTACCATCATAGACTTGATTTCATGGGGATTTATCGATTCAATCACCCATTTATGTACCCACCAAATATCTATTGAACACCTCTTACAGAACAAGTACTCTCCTAAATACTGAGAATAGGATGTTGAGCAAAGAAACAAGCCCCCTGCTTTTGTAGAGGTTCTCTCTTAGTGAAAGGAGATCATCGATAATTAAATAAATAAGCAAGGACATATCAGGCAATAAGAATGCAAAAACATAAAAACATAGCATGAACACAACAACAAAAATTGGGATAACATTAAAAGGCGTGACTGGAGAAAAGGAAAAAAAAAATTAGAGAAGGTGTTCATGGAAGAAGGACCCCCTAAGTCAGGAAGTAGAACTAAGAATTGAATGACAAAGGAAGAGACAGTAGGATCAGATCAGAGGAAAGAATGTTCCAGGCAGAAAAAATAGCAAACAGAATGGCACAGTAGGCCAACATAGCTAAAGAGTAAGGAAGGAGAAGGTTAGAATAGATAAAAACAAAATGGTAGATGGGAACCAGATTATATAAGGTTTTGAAGACTTGAAGAGTTTGGATCTTACTTTAAGCCTACGGGGCAATTACTAAGGTATTTTTTTCAGATGAGTGATACGATCTAGTTCATATTTTAAATGGCTCAATATAGACAGTGACTTTTTTGAGAGAGAGAGAGACAGGTTTTTGCTATAATGGTGTGTGCAGTCTCTGGAGAGACAGAGAGCTAGAAAGCGAGAAATCATCCCCCAGGGGAGATGGCCATGCCACAATATCTTCTCCTCCATTTTCCTCTTGCGCTTTTTGGCACACATGCACATGTGCCGGCATGAGTTTTAAGCCACCAGATCCAGAACATGAACTGCAGTCGACTACGTGGGAGTCCAGCGACATAACCATTATGCCATCTGCTGGTCCTTATAGACAGGGATTTATAAGGATAAGAGTGAAAGCAGGGAGACCTCCTGGGAGTCCACTGAGGTGGTCCCTATGAGAGATGGTGGTGGTATGACGGTAATAGAGAAGGCTTAAAGAATGTTACTGCTTTATCTGGAACAAACTATGAGGCAGAAAAGCTAACCCAACCAGCAGGTTAGAATTTACCTTATTAATCTTAGAACCTTATCTAGTAAAATTTAACCCAGAAAGCCTTTTAGAGATCATTCAGCAGAAATCTGTCAGTTTTAACATGAGAAAAATTGAAATACAGGGACATAGCCAGATTCGCAAAGCAGATCACTAGCAAATCCAAAGTTAACCCTCACAACTGCTATCTTCCAGGTATTAAATAACATGCCCAAGTCCATAAAGAATCCAACAGGACCTGGGCATGGACCTTGTCAGTTTGGTAGAACCCTGTCTACTCTAGAGGTTCTCAGTCTTTGTGGTAAGAATCTACACAGCGGGGACACCTATGGAGGTGTGCTAGGGTCCACACATTCATTGTGGATTACTCATACCCTGTACACTGAATAAACGTGGCACCTAGAGCAGTGTAGTTCACAGCTTTACAATGGCAATCCAGCTAAGTTCAAATCTTAGTTTTCCCAATGAATAACTGTGCACTTTTAGGTAAGTAAGTTACATTACTCTGCACCTTGGTTTTCTCATTTGCACAGTGGAGTAAAAATGTCACTCTTCACAGTTTTGTGAGACCCAAATAAGGTGATGTACTAAAAAAAGAAAGAAAAAAAAAAAACAACACTTCTCTGACACAGAGTAAATACTCAAAAAATGTTTACTATTATGTGGAAGGCAAAACTTTTATTTTACTGAAATGGGGATGTTAATATTCAAAACAAATGAGAATTACTCACTGCTCGTCCTGTAGAAACTATAAAGTGTGGATCTGGGGCTAGCAGGTGACATGGTGGTTAAGGCGCTGGATTCCCAAATGGCTGACGACAGTTTGTGTCCCAGACATGGCAGCTTCAAAATCGTGCCAGGTGTGTGTGTGTGTGTGTGTGTGTGTGTGCGCGCGCGCACACACACGTGCCTGAAAATCCCAAGAGGAAAAATGGAGGAGAAGGGACTGTAGTGTGGTCATACCCTCTAGGGGGGTGACTTCCATTGTCTCTCCTCTGTCTCTCTCTGGCAAGTGCATATGCCCTATGGCAAAAACCTAAAACAAAGACAGAAAGAAAGAAAAGAAAAGAAAATAGTACGGATCTGTTCATGAGTGCGTGCCAGAAGCAGCAACCTCTTTTACCTGTTCTAACACTGCTCCTCAGAGGCCCCTGGTGAGAACTATGGCCTTCAGCCCAGGGACCTGATCCCTTCAGTCGATCCTTCACTTATTCTACAAATGCTATTGAGTGCTTCCTGAAATGCCTGTAGTTCTCAGCCTTTTTCTACTTCAAGTATGTTCACTTGCTTAATTTACTCCCCTGAGTAACTTCTCTCATTGAAATGCAATGATTTTTCAATAAGCATGTGAGGAGAGGCCATGGGGAAGTGGGGAGAGAAAAAGAGTTCCTATCAAAATTTCAAAGGGGCCATGAGGTATGTACAATTGGAAGAATTGGTAAGTACCTCTAAGGCTTATGCATATGAAACAAGCAGATCAAAGGAGGAGGAGAAAGGGAACTAGAGGTCCCTGAGCCCAGTTTGTGTGTGTGTAGTATAGGACTGAAAGCATCATCTTACCCATTTTTTTCTTTCTTTCCCAAACCTCTCCACCCACAGTTCTAGGAGGCATGAGTGTACCTATTTTATATAAAGCAAACTAAGGCTCAGAGACCTCGCGGGACTTCACAAGTTGCTGGACTAGCAAGTGGCTTACCAAAATTAGAGCCCAGGCCTGACTCCTCCTTATGGTGTTTTGGTTTGTTTGGGTGATTCCCCCAACCTCCTTTCTCTTCTCCCCCAACTGAGTCATTACTAGGTGTATATGAAAAAGGAAAGGGAATAAGAAAGAGAGAGAGATGATGGTGATGACAATAGTGTGGTGGTGACTCTGTGTGTATGTGTGTGTGTGTGTCTACATATGTGTATGAGACAGACAGAGAGAACCCTAAGAACGACTCTGAACGGATGCCTAATTAATAATCACCAATGAAAAGGAAGGCCGGCCTGGGTGAGTTTCAGTTGGGCCATCACCAACTGAAGATACAGCAGAGACATCTGGGGCAAGATGACAATATTCCTGTCCTGAGTCTGGCCCTGAAGTATAGGACGTGAAGGGGGCAGACATGCAGGTTTCCACTCCCTGTGCTGGCAGAGCCCCCTGGGAAACACTGTCCTCAGGATGCCATGTGAGGAGACCATGTAACCTGTGAGCAGCCTCTACATCAATTCAGTGCCAATTCCCCCAGCCCCACCCCAAACACGCTGCCTCAGGATGCCATGATTTCTGTGGTAAAGCTCAACTCTTACTTACAGAGGCTCAACTGTAGAAAAAGTAGATCCTGCTCACATTTTAACTTCTGGAACCTTTCTAATTTTGAGAGTCTGCAGGAGATGGCTTTAAGTAACGCCCCTGTGATAAAGGAGCAACTAACTTGTCATTTGTCCCTTTCATGGTGGCCAGAGCCTGAAAAGCCTGTTTTCCAGTCCTACCATCTTAATCATTATTTATGGACAGTATATAAATTTCCCAAACCAGGATCATGCATAACATCCATACAGTTCCATAAAAATGAGGGCAATTTTTATTTAAACAAACATATCAACATGTACCTAATCTATGCAAATCTATTCATAAGGATTCTAGAAAAACACCGCTTTCCCTGCACTCCCTACACACAGAATCCTGGCTCCTTTTGATCTCCCAGTTTGTTTTTAAATGCTGTGTTTGAGAGAGGAGGGGGCCCGTGGAGTAAAAGGGGAGATGGTGCCTCTTCTCATGATGCAGGCTGCTTGTGCAAAGCAGCCCTGCACTTCCAGTGGTGAGCAGAAAGCCAAGTGTGGGAGTTCACCATGGTGGTAACCACCTCCCCACAAAGCAAGCAGCATTTCACCAGAGGGAAGTATCAGGTTCCTGTACTCGGCTGTGGGTTGTCACCATCTAATAATATGACCGTTTTGCCATCTCTCTGCAAATAAGGCAGAAGCTGCTACCTGATTGGTATAACATCTCACTTTCCCTCCGCATTGATTTTCTTGTTCTTCTCCTTTGCTTCATAAAAAGAGGGACAAGTGGCTGGTGCTGTGGACACAGAAGCTTTATTTTTAGTATGAGACAATCTCTATTTTCTTTCAGGAGAGGGAAGTTGGATTATCAATTCTTTTGTAAATGTGTATGGTGATATTTGCTCCGGTAAGTTTATACCTATCTTGATTTACAGCTGGCCGTGTGTGTGTGTGTGTGTGTGTGTGTGTGTGTTGCAGCTGCATACGTACATTTGAATTGCACACTTTTCTTGCCAAATATCATTTTTCATATATTTAGTAATAATGTCTTTTATGGTTTTACTTTGCTTTCTTGTATTCATATGTTCAAACCAAAGAGGCTATATTATGTGATAGTGGGTTGCTTACTTTAGCTGTTAAGTGGATGCTCGGTTTCTTTAAGCATAGTAAGGAAACTATTTAAGCAAATTCATATCTGGTTTTATAAAAATGTAATGTCATTCTACCCCACCCCCACTTTGGAGTGTTTAAAGTCCTAAGTACATTCATCGTGCTCCAACCTGCTTACCATTTTAATTAAAGTTTCTTCGTCAGTGTCAGAGTGAGAATTTCTTTAACTCCATAAATAGCTGCCAAATATTGTACACTGTGCTGAAAGATAGGTGCTAATTCATAAGGTCTTACACCAAGGCAGAATGAATGAGATAAATCTCCCATACAATCAAATGCACACACCTTTAGAAAAACTGAATTTACAAAAATTATTCAGATATCAAAGTAAACCTCTAGCATTTCACAAAAAGCCCTAAGTCCAAGTGGCTGTTGCTTCTTTTCTTTCTTTGCACTGTGTATTTGTGCCACCATCTGTCAGATGCCCAGTCCTGGCTCTCATGTCTCTATATCTGAAGCTAATCAGGAGAAAAGTTGCTGTTATTAAATTCAAACTAGTACAAAATGACTGTCTGGTCACCACAGTTAGTAATGACTGCTTAATGCATTACCTGGTTAACTGCTTGCTTGCTTTTTTTTTCCCAAGAGAGTAAAAGACGGTCTGAATTTTCTGTTACTTTATAAGTGTGGAGAAAGTCTATTAATGTAATTATGCTAGATAGAGATGATAAGATGATTAAGTAATTGCTCTGATGGAAACAAACTGATGCTTTAATCTTCTCTTTTTGTTACACAATCAACAAATCTGCATAATCTTTCTTATGGTAAAATGAACTAGATAATACATTTTTGCTGAAAGTTAAAGTACTATTGAATATGAAGCAAGAAGAGATCTGACTATATATTTTTCAGAGATTTTGAAAGTAAAGTTGGGAGCATCACGCATGCCTAGAGCTCTTAGGCATCGATGGATTCTTTTTCAGAACACCAATTTTTCCGATTCCGAAGTAGTCTTAGGGCAGCTCAGGGAAACAGTAGTGTGTGTCTGGGAATGTACTGACCCTCGTCTCTGCTCCCTGTGAGACGCACCGCCACTCACACAGCCCTCACACACCGGAATGAAACGAACTGAATTGTGATTAATCCAGCTCAGGCTCCAACATAGCCAGACTCCCCTAAACCCACACAAAGTTATTACAGTACCTTGTTATTGGTTGCAGTAAGCATCTTCCGCATAGCCATAAGCCCTAGCTGGAACCAAGTGTTCCTTAGCAGATAGTTTATTGATAAACAAACAAAAAAAACAAACCAAAGAGATCAAACATACCTTTGGGCTGTCATCCATTACTGCTAGGTAAAGCATTCTCTTTCCCCTCCTTTCACACACCCTACCCAACTCCCAACATCCTTTAATATTTTCTGTGGTCAGTCTCCTTTAATGGCCATTGTAACGGGTTGGATATAAAGTTATGACTGTCAATGAAGGTATCATCGTTTGGAGCCATTTAGTAATATAAATAAGTGAAGTTTGAGGGGACTGCATCCTCCACGGGGAAGTATCTATCTTTTCCTCCAGGCTGCCAACTTACACGAGTGTTAGGACTCCATGCTGGCTAAGATTCCCTGACACAGGAAGTACAACAGGACATCTGTGTCTTAAAGTGGGCAGATCTTTTAGTTTAAGTTAAAGCAAATGCGAACATCTTTGAAAGTATCGTGTCTGAAAAGCACAGAATGCCATAGCCAAAAAGGCTATTGTAATCTGTTCTGGGGAATCAAGATCTGAACCATTTTGGGGAAAACAATAAAGGAATTTTTTTTTTTTTTTAAATTTCACAATGAGTTTTTGTTTAGGAAAATGAAAAAATAGACTAGACTTTTCCATTTAATAATTATCTAGTATATGCTTGGCATTACACGGAGCATTTTATGTAGCTTGCCTGACACTGTCCGATGCACTGCACACAGCTTATCTCCTTAACCCTCACTGGCACTTCGTAAGGGAGATAACATTACCTCCCCATTTTTCAGATGATAAAGTGGAAACACAGGGCAAGTGTTTGCCTTGCTTGAGACAACAGTGATGAAGGGGAGACTCAGAATCAGCAGGCTTATCAGGTTCATAATCTGCTTCTCCCTCTCTGGCAGGCCATTTTATCAGTAATCTACAACAACCCCCTAGATGGGACAGATGTGCAGGAACTCAAATATACTTTCCCCCTTTTGACACTATATACCCTCCTTTTTCTCAGACTGTTCCTTTGTGACTCCAAGCTAATTATGTGTTTAAAACCGGAGAGTGTGTGCTTTCTTTACCCAATTTGTACAGCCACAAAGATGTGGAAGTGACGAAAGTGAGCCAGCTTAGGGAGAGATACATGCCGAAGTAGCTAAATTAAGGTAGCGTTTTAAATTAATTGAAATAAATTCACCCCTTTGATTTTCAATCTTTTGAATACAAAGTCAAAACAAAGATGCCACAATAGCTGAGAAATATCCAGTACCTCAAGGTATCTGGTTTATCATTGATGTAAAAGCAATTCCAACCAAATTGATTTATTTCTGGAGAACTTTATAGCATCCTCACCTCTTTCTGCTCACCCCCACCATGATTTTTTTTCTATTCTTTGGTTAGCTGGAAAGGGCTGAGGTGGTACTTCAGGTAGACTATTGTGAAGTATCTATACCACCTGGGTAATTAAAAAATGAACACAGCTGCCGATAAGCATGCTGAGAAGCGTGACAAAGTTGAAATTCAGAGCTCCCAAATGCATTCCTTCACACCTGAGCACTGAGTTCTCCATTTGAAATCCATTTGATCCAATAAAAATCAGATGAATCTCATAGGGGGAAAATGCAACTGACATAGAATCAATGTGTTTGAAATTTCTCTTCCAATGGCAGAGTACACCAGTCAAGAGGCGAGTCCGTATAAGAAAAATAAGAAGAAGATTTCATGTGATGAAAAAGTTGCTAGAAGATAGAATCTAGCTCAGGACACCCTTGCTATATCTTTTCAAAGACCAAAGGAATCTGGAAAAACAGACCAAAAAAAAAAAAAAAACCCACAAATTAGGAACATTATGAGTCAAGTTTTGAATGGTTAATACAATATTGATGACTTTAAAAAAGTAATTAATTTTTTATCATTATTATTATTTTTTAATTTGCTACAAGGCATGTGTGCTCACCAGAGAGACAGAGAGAAAGAGAAATGGAAAGTGAGAAAGCAAGGTGCCAAGTCTGGGACTCAAGTCACAGTCGGCCATGTGGGAGTCCAGTGCCTTAACCACCATGCCACCAGCTGGCCCCCAATACTGACTTCTTAATGTGATCTACTTCATCTAATAAGCAGTAGCTTCTGAAGTACCACCAGGGTAGGCACACAACTAATTAACAAGAGTCCAGAGCGCAGTATGCAATAAAATGTGTTTCTAAAATAATAGTCATTTTTGTCAGAGACAAACCTGGTAATTCATTGATTCTGTATTACCTCTTTTTCTTGCTCTTAAAAAAAATTATAATTGGGTAGTTTAATCAGGAAGTGTGGTATTAAAGTTATTACTGATAAATATAAATCAGTTAGCTTTTTCCAGCAGCATTTACGAGAGCTCTAAATATACTAAGAGCCATTAAATGAGAACTTGTATTGTAATAAAATATATTGTGACCAGCCAATGTGTGCTCATCGAATACACAATATCCTTTAAAACTAATCTTAGAAACAATTGTATAAAGTGTATCATATTTCAGCCTCTAGCAGAAGTTACTACTTTCTTCAGAGAGATAACCAACTTCTAAATAAAGCACAGTAGAGACTGTCTCCACCTCATCTGTTTATTTCTGCCCTGTGTTTGGTTATGTGTGTACTTACACATATTGATCATTAAGTGCTTAAAAATGATCTATTAAGTATGGATAAAGCAGCTGGTGTTAAGACATAATGAGTGTTGGATTTGTCATCAAACATTCTAAACTGGTGTACAAATAGAACTGCCGTTCCTATTACAAACTAGTGTAAGAAAATAGAATCAGCGAGTATTTTGAGCCTTAAATCAGCACATAAAGTACTAAATCCACTAGGAGAGGCTCTAGGTCACTGATGTATCTTTAAATGTTTAAAGATTAGGGATGAGTTGAAAATGGAAACACCTCAGTCTCTCCATTCTGCAGACTAATGGATCTGCATAATTAATATATTTTATAGTGATCATTTTTTAACACAGATTCTAGCCAAAAATACTAATGGAAAATTGTTCAGGGGCAACTCTAAATATATTCCACTATAGTTTCTGAAAAGCTTATTCCCAACACAGGGCAATCAGTTCACTGTGGAGCTTTAGGATGGCCAATAAAAGCAGGTAATCATGTCATTATGGTCCTTTGGGAGAATGATGTGTTGGGCATAAATGGTTTCCATGCACAGTCCCCAAGTGACTTTTTTGGGCCTGCTTATAGAATCTTTAAAAGCTCCCAAAGCATCACATATTATCTCACTGTAGACTTTCTGACAAAGACATAACAAATATTTTGGGCATATTTCATTTCTGGTCAAAGTAAGGCTTTAAAAATGTGTGTCCAGGGCCAGCAGGTGCTGTGGTGATTACGGTGCTGGATTCCACATGGCTCCATGGTTTGAGTTCTGGACCCAGTGGCTTGAAAAACACTTGGGTGTGTGTGCGTACATGCCCAAGAGGAAAATGGAGGAGAAGGGATTGTGGCATGGCCATCCCCCTTGGAGAGTGATTTCTCACTTTATCACTTTCTCTCTCTCTCTCTCTCTCTCTCTCTCTCTCT